GCACTTCCAGGACAACTTGACAAAATACTAGTTTATGGAAGGAGCCAGGCTGGCAAAGTTTGCATAAGTGAGCTTCACCAATGTCCCTCCTTTTGGAAAGAAGCACTTTTGCTTGTTTTGGGCCTTTCCCTAAGAAGCATTAATTTTTTCTTTACACAAGAGATGGGTCCTGCTGGTGCAATGCAATTGGCGGGACTCACTGCTTGCAGAAAGGAATCCTTGTGGGTGGAAGCACCCCGATAGATTCTGCCCTGGGGGACACTCCATTTGGAAGCAACCCTTGGAGTCCTTTTTAGTTGAAATTCCCTTTTTGTATACAATTACTACCACAGTTCTTGTAAAAATAAATAAACCAGATTCCTTGGGAAAAAAACACTTTCAAAGCCAAAAGTGGAAAAAACCCTTTGCATACATATAAGCACAAATATGTCATTTGTGATGCTCCTGGGGAGTTACACTTTCTGCAAATCCATGAAATTGAAGAGAGTATTGGGTATAGAATCAAATTCCTACAAATTAAAGTTTGTATGGATCATAAAAGATGTTATTACACCTTATGACTGAAAGCACCCTAAGCACAGAGCAGGATCTGGTCAGGCGTCTTGACCTCACGCACCGCAGAAAATCACATCCTTAGCATATCTCCTTTCCTTGATTTTGGTACCTTTATATGAGCATGTGAAAAAAGGGTTAGGAGAATATTTAATATTTATTCAATGAACAAAGACACCGTTCTGATCTGATGTATTTAGGGCTTTCCATGAACGTTGAAGCACCAAAATGCTGTGCAATTGCAGTTGTTAAGGGCCATGGCCGTAACATGTGTTATTCAAGCAAGAAGGATATGTCGTAGCAGTGGTGGTGAACCTATGGCATGCAGAGCCCTCTGTCGGCATGCAAGTCAAGTTGCCCCAGCATCGCCCCAGCATCCGAGCATTGGATAACAGCGCACATAGGGGCCATCTGCATGCTCAGAAAGGAGTAGCGGTGCCAGGCGATGATGTCACAGGCCGTGACACAAAGGCCACGACTCATCCGACCTTTCGCATGGCTAGTCAATGTGCTGCCAAGGATGTATATATATTTGCTTGGACTGGCTGTTTTCAGGTTTTATTGCATTGTTGGCACTTTGCAATAAATAAGTGGGTTTTGGGTTGCAGTTTGGGCATTCGGTCTCTAAAAGGTTCATCATCACTGGGTTAGGGCTAGAAAAACGAGGTGTCATGGCATGATTTAGATGGTTGGAATGTGTTTAGAATGGGCAGAAATGTTGAGCTGTGCAGAAAAAGCTACACAAGAAAGGCTTTTTCAAAATCATCCTATTTTCACTGGAACTTTAGCCCTATATTAGGGTTAGGGATGCGTACCAGGGTAGGTTTAGGGTTCGAAAAATGAGGTGTCCTGGCATGATTTTGATGGTTGGAATGTGTTTAGAATGGGCAGAAATGATGAGCTGTGCAGAAAAAGCTACTCAAGGAAGGCTTTTTCAAAATGTTATTTTACCCCTATATTAGGGTTAGGGGAGTGCACCAGGGTAGGGTTAAGCCAGTGGCGAACCTATGGCACGTGTGCCACAGTGAGCATGCTAAGCCCTGTCGGCATGCGAGTCAAGTTGCCCCAGCATCACCCCAGCAGCCGAGCATTGGATAACAGCACGCATAGGGGCCATGCGCATGTTCAGAAAGGAGTAGTGGTGCCAGACAATGATGTCACGTTCTGCAACTCATCAGCCATGACTCATCTGAGCTTTCGCATGGCCAGTCAGTGTGCTGCTAAGGATACAAATATATTTGGTTGGACTGGCTGTGAGTTGTTTTTTCTAAATTAAAACCTCAGTTTTCAGGTTTTATTGTAGTGTTGACACTTTGTAATAAATAGATGGTTTTTGGGTTGCAGTCTGGGCACTCGTCTCTAAAAGGTTCACCATCGCTGGTTATTGTACCCTGTGCTGCTGTTAATTTCAGCTTCATCCCCCTCTTCAAGCTAAATTGATTGTGCTCCTTATGCTGATCAATGTAATTCAAGTCAAATATTATTACACTGTTGCTCCATCACCTTCCCCCACTTACGTAAATGCAGATTCTTGGATGTTCTTGATGATATATTAATATCATGTATCATTTACTTACCTGGGAGTAAACTCAATGAAGTCAATGGGACTTACTTCCAACTAGATGTGAAACTGTTACTCCTTTCCCAGAAATGTATGGGCTTTTTCAAATACAAATGGCACTGAGGAGGCATATTGCTTTAAACCAGAGGTGCACAACTTTTTTTTGGTCCTGAGAGCCACTGGGGCCACCTATGTGTGCACCACACCTACTCATTCACACACGCAAAAACACAGACCAGATGTTGGTTCTACAGCAGCATCTTTTCCGCACAATAGTATCAAGGTATCAAATAGTATCAAACCCCCTCAGATAAACAAAGGAAGAAAGCCTCTTAAAACTCTTTCTATGGTTCCTGCCATATAAGGCTGATTCCTTGAGCATCCTAGGAATTTGAAGGCTACCTTCCAGAGCCATTTCTGAGGTTCTTCTAGCACTTGTCTAGGAATGAGGTCTCTACGGCAGGGACTACAAAGCTTGTTCCTAAACCATTTCATTCCCCCAACACCCTTTTTGGTGGAGGGATCTGGGATGGGCAGAGTCATGTACCCAAGACTTTAATTTTCTCAAACTCTGTAGGGTAATGAAGGAGTGATCAGTTAAAGGGTTTAATCACTAAAACATTTTGTTTTGTTTTACAGCTTTTTAGAATTGTATAATAATAATAATGAGGGACTGCAGATGGCGCAGTGGTTTAAACCGCTGTGCTGCTGGGCTGGTAGATTGAAAGGTCACCAGTTCGAATCTGCACAATGGGGTGAGTTCCTGTTGCTCCGTCCCAGCTCCTGCCAACCTTGCAGTTCAAAAGCATGCAAGTGCAAGTAGATAAAAAGGTACCACTTCGGTGGGCAGGTAACAGCGTTCCGTGCCGGCCACATGGCCACGGAGACCGTCTGCAGACAAACACTGGCTCCCTCAGCTAGAAAACAGCGATGAGGACCGCCCCCTGGAGTCAGGCATGACTGGACTTAATGTCAAGGGGAAACCTTTACCTTAACAACAACAACAACAACAACAATAGCAGCAGCTAACTTCATAGTACCCCAGTTGGGTATCTTGCCCAGTTATAATGCACAAATATTCTATGCTCAAAACTGGGAACAAGGAACATTGAACAGCTGGATTTGCGTTAGGGCAGACTACCAAAGAATCCAAATCTCAGCAATGAAGCTAGAACACCACTTCCAGTGGAAATGGGGTGCTGACTAATATTCCTCTAAGAATGAGATTTTAATGAAGTTTCTTCAGATCTACTTACCATGGCAGCCAGCTGGGACCTCCATTGTTACAGGCATTATACCTCTAATTGCAGGAGAGGGAGGGAGAGAGAGAGAGAGAGGCAGGCAGGCAGACAGCTGTTATGGAGTCACCATAACAGAGCAGAAAATGAGTGAGTTCTACATATAACAAAATGGTAGTTAATGGATTTGGACAGTCTCATAATGGAGGTGGGGTTTGGCATTCTCAGCAGTTACTGATATAACTGTATATTGAAACACAATCCTTTGAAAATTGCTCCATTACTTTCCATGATGATTTCTTTTTAGCAGGGAGTTCCATAATTCAGCTGTTCCCATATTAGGTCATGACACTAACCCTGGAAGTACTATGACCAATAACACACACATGGGTACAGAGAAAAGAAATTGTGTTAACAGTCTCTACCTTAGAGATTGTTAATGCAAAAAACAAACAACTAAACAAATTGATACAGGGCAGACAAATCAGCACTGTTGGCCAAGGCAGCTGGACAGAACCTCTACATTCTTATTTACCTCCACAAGGAGGAGTAGATAACGCTGTCTGTGGACTTCCTGAAGGCATCGGTCTGACCATCTTGGAAAACTGGATGCTACCTAGATGGTGATCCAGCCAGGCAATTTCTTACTGTCTCATTCACTGTTAGAAAAACCTGCATATTCAGTTGTGGTGCAGTCAAGCAAGTCATCTGCAGTTGGGAAACAGGCTGCTTGCTTGATGAAAGCGCTTTGGTATGATCCAGGACAACTCTTCTGGTGTACAATAAATCCCTTTATTTCTTCTTCGTAAATATCCAAAGGCCAGTGCAGGCATATACCCTGACCCTATCTGTCTTTACTTGGAAGTAAGTCCCCCACTATTTGGATGGAGCTTACAAGCTTGGTGACAATAATTAATTCAAGAAATACCGGTTGCTTCCCACCCTACCTTTTTCCGTATGAGTCTTCTGCCAGAAAGAAGCCAACAATTTTATATATTAGAAAGAACCTTCCTTTTGGACACAATTTATCATGCACCTTTTGTATGAGGAGCTGGCCTTGTATGTGAAGCTGGAAGTTCTGCTATCTTCCCCTATTCCCAATAGGTATATATACTTTTGCTGTTAATTTTTCCTGACGAGCATATGTGTACAGGCAGTCTCCCCGTTACGAATGAATTCCATTCCTGAGAAACTTGAAAACTGTTTTTAGGTTGAATTTGTATGTAGGTTGGGTCATGTATAATCACCCCTCCACATTCTTGGGGGCTGTGGTGCAGGATCCCCATGAAAGTGGAAAAATTATGAATATCCCTAGGCCCCCTTCCTGCCGAAACTCACCAGCACCTCCTCTTTGCAGTGAGGAAATGCCAGAGAGATTTCCCTCTCTGGATGCGCAGGGCAGGAAGGCCTGCTTTGGAGGGCTCCCTCACTCTCCTTCCACTTCCTCTCTTTCTATGGTAATGATTATTTTTTGCAGTATTTAAAAAAAATAGAGGTGTTATGGCAGTTTGTTCATAAGTATAGGTTGCAATTCAGACATTTGTAACTCAGGGACTGCCTGTATTGTACTCTCTCTCTCTCTTACTCACAGACATAGCTACGTGTACTTTTTCCTAAATATATATACGGCTAATGATTAGGTGACTGGCTGAGCATCCCATTGCTTCAGAATATTTATTTTAGTACTCAGAAGTACATCCTTTAAAAAAACTCCAACAACTGCTATCATTGTTTGGGCAAATACATTCAATTGCTTCAGCCTATAAAACATCCTGATTGGTAAGAGAGGTTTTGGAAGACCATGAGAAGTCATGAGAGGGGGAGAGGAAGAAAGAATGCCTACTTTCAGATTTAGCCTACCATGCAACCTAATTTTGCAGTGGACTGCAGCTAACTTCAAAATATGAGCCCCACCTACTGCCCTTCCACCCACTGGCTAGCACCTTGGAGCCCGTTGCTAGGCAATGCAGGCTTGTTCTGGGCATGACTAACAGGACACACCTTATGAATTCCTCTAGGATAAAATGGGCCAGGAATCACATTTTAATAAAAATGATGAATACCTTATGGTACTACTATAATATCACAATAGTAGACACAAGAAGCCCAGTAGGAGCAGAGAAACTGGCAGGCACAGTCTACATCCAGCAATGTCCATGGGGGGAAAAAAGCCCTGGCAAAACCAGTCATACTGGTGGAATTCACTTCTCAAATTGTACGTTCCTGAGAGTAAGGAACTCTTTCTTCTTCGAAAACAGCTTGGGTTGTGCTCAGATGGATCCCTCCGGCACAGCCTGGTTTCACATCAATCTGCTGAGCTAATTGTGGACTGCAAATAACTTGTACCACTGACTGCAGCTGCCCTCCCTGATTTTTGGCTATAATGGTAGAATGCCGTTCATCCAACTCGCACTAAACATGTAATATAGCATTTTAGGAAAGTAAAGGCCTTTCTCATACTATCTGTTATTCTTACAACAGCCCCATAGGTCAGTATTTATTATTCCATTGTTGTAGGTGAAGCACTCTGCCTCTGAGTATGTACACAGCAGATTTGTACTGGCGTTTCCTGATTCACAGCTCCGTCTCTTTTAGCAATTACTCTGCACTAGTTTACAAACCTGGCATCTTTTCCTGGACAAAATTATTCTTGGGCTAATGTAGCGGGCGTGTTCCTGGGCCCAAAGTCACCCTCAGATGGCACCTCTTGTGATGTCACAGAAAAGCAAGGCACAGTGGGCAGCAGTTATAAATACTCAAGTCATTCACTCCTGGGAGCCACTTCAAGAGCTGCAAGGTTGGTGCAAGTCTGTTCAGAATTCATCTTTGACTTGCATCCTCACAGACCGTGCCCCAGACTCAGCGTTTGCTTTGGTCCTTTGGGTGGTGGATCGAGCTCTTCCCTTAGGGGTAGGTGGCTCTGGCGAGTCTGCACTGCCATGTCCTGGGCTTGCATTCTCCATGTCAATGGAGTGTGACTGTTCATGTTGTCTCTCCTTCTGTCTCATCAGCTCTTCTGCCTGGGCCCGGTCCTGCAACCCAAGAGAGTGCACATCACAGGATCATACAGCTGGAAGGGGCCTAACAGGCCAGCAGGTCCAACTGCCTGCTCCATGCAGGACTCAAGTCACCCATTCAGCCTGGCCCGATCCTGCTTAGATTCCAAGATCAGGCAGGATCGGGCACTTCGGGCTTAGAGAAGCTCACCCACATGAGTGGGGAAGAGAAGGAGTTCCACAGGACAGCACTTTGCCATTTTGGTTTCCTTCCTGCCAAAGCCCATAGAAAGAAAACGTATTTCCCAATGTAGTTTCCAAGCATTCTTAACACAACAAAAGACATATTCTTTCCTGGAAATCTAGGCAGTGCTAAATCCATTCCATTGTGGCTTGTAGGCTCCCCACAGAGGCTGCCCACACCATTTTATCCGAAGATATGCTTTTGGGTATTGTTGCTGGGCTCTCTCCCGCGCCCCTTCCCACCTTTTCCCTTCCCTTGGTACCTGCTCTGCGTGTTCTGGAGAGAGGGTGTACCAGAGGGCGATGGCACAGCGCCTTCCACGTGTCACTGCCCACACACCGTGGGGGTTCTCCCCACCAGAGCTGAACGCCACCAGCCTTCCACATTTAGGCTGCACCTGGGCCTGAGAGAGAGACACGCACAGAGAGGGAACGGTCAAAGGGGTTGCATTCTGAGGGGCAACTGCCTGAACAAGTGAGAATGGGTTGATGTTCACCTGACCCGCAGTAAAAAATGCTGGAGAGGGCCCAAGAGGAGGGGAAAAGGAACATAGTTACCAACGGGGTGCTGGGCATGTCAGTCAAGGAGGAGCGAATGTCTGTTGCACTGTAAAATGTGGCTGAATTCGCCTCTGAGCACCCAATCTGAGCCTCCTCTTTTCCTGGGACACATCCTCTTGGAGGGGAGGGTCACAATTCCGGCTCCAGCTGCACTTCCTTCCCCCCTCCCTCCACACAAAGCCCTTGCCCCAGACTTACTGTCATGGTCACAGCATCTGTCTCTGTGAAAAAAAGGTTTCCACCTTGGAAATCATCATTCAAGTAGAGGATTGCACTGCAGAGAAATGGAAGGACGGTCAGGGCTATTGGGTATCTGGGAACTGTCCCCCAGTTATTCACTCATCCTGGGGAGCACAATAAAGTTGCCACAATAGCTTTGTTTCCACAATAAAGTTGCCACAATAGCTTACCTCTGTGCAGCTGACTTTTCCACATACACACGCTAACGCTATCTGAATGTTCAAGCAAAACTGAATGGATTCTCGTCCAACAACCCATGGACTGTGGGTTTTTGTGCTGTGCAAACCTGGACCAATTCCTGCAGAGAGTGGCTTAACATTATTGCTAGTGATGTGAAGATCCGCCCTGAATCCAGTGCTCTCACACTTGCTGGACTTCTTTCTCACACTTGGCTCTGGCCTAGTGTTTTCCTGGCCAGGGGCAGATTTTAAAAAAAAAATCCAGAGAGTGATATGCCAACTCCAGGTTCACTAAGAAGATTATTTATTATTGCAATAATATCCAAACATGCTAGCTAGACTTCCAAAACCTTTAGCAGCAAGCCTCTTGCACTGCACAGTGAGGGCTCCAGCCTGGTAGGGCTCCAACCAGCTCGGTTCAGAAAAAAACAGCAGCATCCCCCTCAAAATGACTCTGAACCAAAAAGCAAAGGAACTGGCTAGCTTTTATAAAATACAAACTAATAGCACTGAAATGCATGCACACAGCATTCTACAAAATTAAAATATGTGGTTACAAGAGTAATATTGTTTAGACAGGTGCTAAGAGATAACCAAATAGAGTAAGCTAGCAAGGAGGATTCCTAACTGGATGGCCGATGTTTCTTCTGTGCCTGAGCATCAAAGCGTAGGCTCCTTACTACCTCTTGCTTACGAGAATAAAGCCTGATAAGGAACGCTCAAGGGCAGCACACACGGTCCTTGTGCCATCTCAACGCCAGGAAAGGCGAACTCCCTAGTTTCATGAAACCAGACTGTCTTGGTCAGAGCAATGCTAACTAAAGCTCTACTGTACTATGGGAGGCAACCAGACTTTAAGGCCAAGCAAAGCAAGCAGCTGAAAGGGCTAGAGACCCCGCCTGGCTTTTTGGGGTTCAGGCCTTTTACACCTAGGAAGCAAGCTTAACGGATTGCTTTTCAATAGCTGTCAAGAGAAAGAAAGGCTCATTTGGCTTTTGGAGCAATGCCGGGATGGCAGGGAACCCCTCCCAAACAACACTGCCTCACTGATGGTTCTGATTACCACGTGGCTAAAAATAATATTTTTTATTTATGCTGGGTGCACAGAAATCATAATAAAAACATTTATTATGTTCCTGTGACCACCGCAGGAACAGAGAGAGACATACCATTCCTGCTACAGTGTCCCATGGGACACTTCTGGAAGGATGATCAGGAGAGATGAGTGAACGACCCACTATGAGCCTACAGTGAGATTCCCCACTGAAATCACAAGCCATATTTGCTTGCCACGGCTTGATTTAAAAAAAAGGGGGGGTGAGATGATGAATGCAGATGGTCAGGCCCTCCTTCATAATCACAACAGGGGCATGTTCATGGTTCCCCCTTTTAAAAATGTTTTCAATGATCCCATCTGCGCAGAAAAGCACTTGTGTTCGCAATTTATTAACGTTGGTCTGTTTTTCACAAATATGCACTTGGGGTACTTGTGCATTTCTGCAGTCTTACTTGGTTTGTTTCCTTGTCTGTGAAAGGGAGCAGCAAAGTGAACTGGTAACAGACTGACTAGGCAAGACTGTATAAAGACCAATTGGTGCATAGTCGCCAGGGACCAATTGCTCAGCTGTCGACTGAAAATCACCAGTAATGGGGGGAAAGTGGCTATAGTAGCTGCCAAAAAGGCATGGGGGAAAATATAATCCATTTAGCAATGTAATCCTTTCAGTTTTAAGAGATGAACTGCAACCTCTTAATGCCCTCCACTCCGTCACCCCTTTCCCAAGGCTCCAGTTATTCCTGGAGGAGGTAATAATTCCTCCTTTCTCCCATCCCCTTTTTTGGAGCACTTATTGCTATGCTTGGTGTAGTTCCATGACAGTCCACAAATCTCCCCTCCATTTACTTCTCAGCGTTAACTTTTTGTATATTTCTGCAGATCACGTGGACACGGCTGATGAACAAGCATAAGGAACATTCCCAGAAGCCATGGTGGCTTGCGTGTTGCCCAAACCTGACGCCTTTCAAGTGGGTAGCCGTGGCTTGCTGTATGGTTTTGTGGCCACCTCTGCTCTCGCCCCGTCACCCAGAAGGCTCGCTGCTCTGGCCGTGTGGCTCCAACAGGTACTTCTGTGAGCCGTGCTGAAGTGGCCAGAGCCAGCCAAGCTGTGCCTAGCCTCTTTTAGAGACTGAGCAAAGCGGAGCACAGCTTCTTTTTCTCTCACCTGGCGACTGGGACAGTGAGTGCAGGGAGAACGAGCCGCACTCTGATCTGTCTTTTCTAGAGGAGACCAAGCAGAGTGCAGCCTGTCCTGCCCAGCCCAGCAGCCCAATCCCGGCAGAGAGGGCTGCTCACAAGCAGTGCCTCTCAGCATGACTGGCCGCGGCCAACCGCACTGGGCACTGCCTCTCCAAGGCCTGTGTGTGGACACCACAGGAGCACAGAGGTTTCCCTAGCTCCTCGTTTACAGCCCCACACATGCACAAGGTGCTTCCTTGTGTTATAAAACAGCAGATATGGTGCTGCAGTTATTAACATGGACCCACAAGGCAGCGAGTGCATTTTCAGAAAGCACAGCTACTGTGCTGCCTCACAAGCAAGGAAAGCCCCAGTGCAGAACCTACCCTGGTGACTATTGGGCTGGCCAGCAAGAAAGAATGGAGAGGCAGCCCACGCAAGGGAGGGGGTGATGTTAGTTTGGCCTCCTGCTGGCTCCTGCAGGCAGTCGGGGAGGACAAAAAGCAGTTGTTGTTATGTGCCATCAAGTCATCTCTGGCTTAGGGTTCAGGTTGAATGACTCCCCTGCAAAAATGCCAGCCGTGGAGACAAACAGCCATGCTAGCTACTCCTCCGCAGCACAGTGGAGAGGCAGGGGGAAAGGCGCGAACAGTGAGAAAGCAACGGTGGGAAAGGAGGCCACACAGAGCTGTGTGTAGCAGCTGCTCCACTGCTGCTTCTCCTCCTCCCTCGCATTGACTCAGCCCCCCATCCTGTACCTCTGTCTGATCACAAGGGGAAGCAGCAGTCCAATCTTCCCATGAAGAAAGGACACAGAGCCAGGAGAAGTTTCTGTGCAGAACCGTGTCATTCTGCCAGCAACGGGCTCCCCGCAGATGTGTGGGCCCCAGCAGATGCCCAGTTGTGCTGCCCCCAAACCTGTGTATACCAAAGTACTGCAGCATGAAAAACAGAATTGGTTCTGTTACTTGACTTCTATTCCAAGGCAAACATTTTAAGCAACTGCTTGTGCATGTTTTTAGTGGTGAAGCTTGAACGGGGAAGATCATCTATTAGTGATGTTAGTGACAAACTCTCTACCCTGCCAAAGCCCCAGAACAGTTTTGCAGCACTTTAAAATGTTGGTACACTTTTAAGAAGAATCAACAGGGCGAAGAATCAGTATTGTCTGACTGTAGAATTCTGCAAACCATCAGTCTTCACCTGCAGCCTCTCACCTGTAGTCTCGATATATGTAGGCAGGTGGCTCCTTCCAACACGTGTTTCCCTCTGGATCCAAGAGGCAATTGTCAGCATGGACTGGATGGCTGAGGTCCATGCGCCCTTCCTGTTCTCCTGAAGGAAGACCAGTGAAAGTTGCCACTGTCTTGCTCCTGACAGCAGCCTTTAATCATTATTCAAGTACATTTCTATCTCACTATTTCCCTTCCTGCAACAAACCCAAGGTTGCTTACCTAGTCCTTCTCCACTCCATTTTATCCCCACAACCATCACCCTGTGAGGTAGGATAAGCTGCGAGTGACTGGCTGGGAGTCACCCGGTGAGCTTCATGGCCAAGTGGGGACTAGAACCCAGATCTCCTGGGTTGCAGCCCAACACTCACACCACACCGGCTCTTTTGATCACTCAAAAGCCACAATAAAAGCAATGGTCCAGGCCTTATTTCCTTCCATAGACCTGCACAAAACCTATCCTTTTTAACCATAAGAACCACACTGATTCGGTGCTCGAGACAAAAATCCAAATTGCTCCTGCAGCAAAATTCTCTTGTTCTCCCCATTCATTTCACTGGAAATGGTACAGGAGAGGTGTTATAATCTCTGCGACAGGCAGGGGCTCAGACACAGATAAGTGTCAGAGAACTCAGTGGGCACACATCCAGTTTAATGATGCAGGAAAGGCAATGCCCATCTGAGTACTGCCATGTGCGAAAAGGCCTTACACAGCATCCTACACCTGGCAGGTTTGCACAGATAACGTTCAGCACCCCTCTTGCTACTGGGCTGGCACAAAAGAAATAATACTCCATCCCCCAACACAGGTAGCACTGTTATCCTGAGTTTCATGTAGAACTGAAAGGAATCCTCTCCTGAAACTTTTCTTCTTCTATGAGCTTTGATTCCGAAAATGTCTAGGACAGTGATGGTGAACCTTTTAGAGACCAAGTGCCCAAACTGCAACCCAAAACCAACTTATTTATCGCAAAGTGCCAACACTGCAATAAAACCTGAAAACTGAGGTTTTAGTTTACAAAAAACAACTCCACAGCCAGTCCAAGCAAATATATATAATCCTTGGCAGCACACTGACCAGCCATGCAAAAGCTCGGATGAGTTGCGGTGTATGAGTTGCGGCTTGTGACATCATCGCCTGGCTCCGCTACTCCTTTCCGAGCATGCGCATGGCCCCTGTGCGCTGTTATCCGATGTTTGGCTGCTGGGGCAAGGCTGGGGCAACTTGGCTCATATGCTGGACTGAGGCAAGTCTATCTGGATTGTCCATTTTATAAGACATCACATTTTATCCATGGCTCAAAATCAAATCCAAGGAGATGTGAATATCTAAACTTCGAATGTTGTTTTAACACAAATTAGCATTTCAATTCAGACATGACATTTCACACTAACACTCAGACAAACTGGGAAACTGGTGTAGTGTGAATATTCCTAAACATCTGTTTCAGCTCTGATGTTCACACCTTATTAACAAAATTCAGATGTACTCTCAACGATGTTATGTAACCACCCACCTGTCCTGTGTGAATTATTTACCCACCTGTTTGGATTCTGTGTGAATTGTTTTCATTGCAACATTATTCATCATGCTGCAGTACATTTACCAGCGCTATTGCATTACAGATCGAGAGTGCAGATCTGATACTTTAGAGTAATAAACAATAAATGTGAATGGGCAGGACTGGTGTTCAGTGAGGGATTACGTTGCAGGTCCCAAACATGCAAGATGTTCCTTACCTTCTGCAGCTGTACGGCACACAAGATGTGTGAATGAAAAATGGAGGTTTTTCCCTGGGGTGAAATAGTATTCCACAATTTTCCGGGATTTCTCGCTGGCTTGTAGGAGCAATTTAACATCCCTCCAGTTCACAGCACGTTCCTCAGCCAGCTGGAAGATAAATGCACATTGGTGAAAAAGTTTCCCCACATGCAGAAGTGTTTAATTTGTAGGATGGTCTAGGGACATGTACACTTAAAAGAGAAAGATGACAGACACAGCATGAAGCAGTACCCTTAACAGAGTGTGGTGAAGGAGAAGACGACCTTGGCTGGCTGGTAATTTCAGCTGGTCCACCTTTCTGCAGTTTACCAGATTAATGTGTGTTGACCCTCCAAGACAAAGAAATGAGAGAAGAGCTTTTGCTCCTCCCCACTTGGGTCTTTCACTGTCCTGCTCCAACCAGGTTCAGCTCTTTGGTTGGCATACGTTTACAGCACTATCACTGAACACTCAATTTAGCAAGTCAAAAGTCATGCACCGTTTTTCTAGGCAAACATGAATTTTCCAGAGAGAAGTCAGCAGCAATCAAGCTCAAATAAATAGGATATTATGTTGCATCAAGCAGAATCAGAATCCAAAGGGCAGCATGAAGGAGAAGTTCAAATATCAGCAACATGGATGTCAATACACAGGTCAGGGTGCAAGATCCTGGAACTGAGGAATCAGTGTTTGCAGCAGCAGCAGGACTGATACTGAGGGCTTGTAGTACCTGGGGTGCAGTTCAAGCAGGCTGCAAGGAGCCCCTTCCTCTTGACTAACCCACCTCCAGTTAGCCCACCTTGCCCATGAAAATGTCTCAAGGGAGTCGTATTGGTTGCCACTTGAGGTTACAGTGCTTGTGGGTGCCGGCTCCGCCTTTGTCTCAGAGGCAGAGCTTCCCTCCTCCCCGGTTTTCTCTCCAGCCTCCCCCAGGCCTCCTGACATGGTGGCACTGTTTGTCTCTGGGGTTTCTGGCTCTTCCTTGGAGGAGGATCCCTTTAGCAAGGGAAAGCCTTTGTGCTTGCCCGCTGCAGGCAAGCGTTGGCCTTTGCTTGTCCTTGCTGGGCCACTTGCAAAATGCCTTCATCTGCACAATCATTAATCTTACAGGAGCCTCATCATCTTCCCTTACAAGCGACCCCCATCTAGGGTTGCAGAAACATCCTGTGAACAATCCACGGGGGCAGTACTCTCCCACTGGCTTTCAAGAAATGGAGCTGTAGCAGGGATGCTCATGAAACACGGTGTACAGCCAAGCCATGAGAATGCCAGGAAGCTGCTCTGCCATGAGACAGTCACACCATTGCCCAGCGAACAAAGCACGTTTTTGCAAGGCCAAAGATGAAACAAAACTTAAGACATATCATGCACTGGAGAGGGATCCGTGCCATTACCCCCACCAGGTTAGTCTTCTTTAAGGCTCTAGCCAGGCAATCTACCTGGTCTGTTGATGCATACCCACAATGTGGCCTCAGCCCTTTTCACAGGGCTTCTCTTACTTCTCATCTCTCATTTCTGATGATGTTGTGTCTATTTGGAAATTCTTGCTATGAGTTGGAAACACTTTTTTTTTTGGTAAGTTAGCTATGGGCAAATGTTTTTAGATGGGTGCAAGGAGAAAAGTTGTGCGCTTTGTAAAATGAGTTGGTTTTAATTTGTTCATCCATCTCTGTCTATTACAGGGCTCTCCAGCCTTCCTGGGTTGATAGGCACATTTGGAATTTTAAGAGCGGGTTGTGGGCACTCTCACAAAATGGCTGCCATGAGAGGTCTTGCCTATTAACAAAATGGCTGTTGTGCTGGATGTGGCACCAAAGAGGCAAACTGGCAAGGCTAAAAAAGGAACAACTTGACCAAGAATCTATGCAAAAGGTAGAGGGACCTGAATCCCAAAACATAAAACCACTCTCTCGAACCCAACTTTTTCTGCTTCATTTTAAAGGAAAGGCAACCTGATGAGGCTGAGAAGCAAGTGACTGAGTACAAGGCAGAGAAGGGGTTGAAACCACAGGTGTCAAATCACATATTTCTTCCCACGAGATAGTAATCTCACAGAAGGCAAATTGGTAATGTTCACACAGTGTGGGGAAGTAGAGGGGCTCACCCATTTTCCTGGGACCTTCAATGAAGCAGGGCCGAAGCCAACAGGGCATAGCTGGGAATCTGCCTGGGCAGAACCACACATGGGACTGCAACGGCCGGGAGACGCGGGCGAGCGCGCAGCTGTGCGAGATTGCCGGCCGGGGAAGGATCGGCTGGGTTGGGTGGAGTGGTGTGCGAGAGGAGGGTATAAAGAGGAAGCAGAGGAAGGGAGTGGGGAGGAGGAGAGAGGCAGAGAAGGGGGGCCAAGGAAGAGATGTGCATGGAGATTGTGACAGGCTGGCTTGGCTGCTGATCGCAGGCAGGCAGGCACAAGCAGCAAGGGGAAACCCTGTGGCAAAGACACACAGCTCCCCGTTGCTGCAGGGGCAATGCAGCTCGTTGCCATAGAGACAGGAGAGAAGAGGGCTGGAGCAGGAAGGGCTTTGGCGCTTTGGGCAGCACGGCCGTGGAAGCTGTAAACGGCAATAAAGAGGCCCGGTGAGTGGACTGGCTTCCTCGTGTCTTTTCTCATGGAAGTAAGGGAACAAGGTGTCTTCAGCGTGTCCCTCCCTCCTAATACAGTCACACACACAACATATCTGCACTCCAAAGCTCCTCCAGGTAAAATATGTACCACACACACAAACAAGCCAGATACCACACAACACACAGAGACAAATACCCCCCTACCACTGGCTCCCAAGAACATGTCCTACCACTCCTCACCTTTCCTTTAAAATGAAGTGCTGGGCTGGACTGGTTGACCACAGGGGACCCAAAAGCATTCTCGGGCATAAAGACGGTACAGGACACTGTTCCCAATAGACTCCCAGTTACAGTAAACACACAGGACTAGGGGCAGCTGCCAGGTTAGGGGCATGAATCCACCACTGCAAAGACCTGTTGCTGTGGCAAAGCTGAGCGGCAGTGGGAAGCCTTTTATAGAGCCTCCGGGGCTCCCAGCTGGCCTGCACCAGACACAATCCTGCAAGTACTTGCAAGCTGGTCCAGGTTTCCTTCCCCATCAGGCCACAAGGGAGGCTTGCACCGCTGCACAGATCCTGACAGGCTCACACATGCTTCTCAGAATTTGCAGGGAAAAGGTCCACACTGTAGGATTAGGAACTTACCCCTTCTGGCATTACCAAGACACTTACCTGCAAAGCCTTTAACACTGTTAAACCTTCAAATCTCTCGTGTGGAGTGTGAGGTGAACGCCGGCCGCGATAGCTGTCTCCTGCCCCTCCAGCTGCCTGAAACAGGATTGGACATGCGAGGGACTTAGTATTGCTCAGTATGCCCCTTGGCCAGTGCACACCTTTCCCCTTGCAGGGGTAGATATGGCACTTGGCCTTACCTTAGCCAGACGGAGGATGTCTTTGCATTCAGATTCAGTCAATACTCTGTCCAAGACAACCCTTTGGGAGCCATTGAGTTGTTGGGAATCCATGGTGATGGTGATCCCCTCAAATGGTAGCTGTTCTGGGAAAACGAGATGAGCAAAAAGGTGAACAACTACACACATGAGGAAAGCCCACCAGGCATTTTGGCTGTGCCCAGGGCGTGCAAACGATCAGGAAGGAAGGAATGTGCTTTTCCTATAGTATCTAGTCAAGTATGCATAGTTTCCCTAACTTTCAAGCAACACACTTGTCAGGTTTTTTTTAAGGTTTCGAAGCTACTCATTTGATCTGCACCCACAAGTTCTTTGAAAGCCAACAGCAAGCATGCACTTCAGCACTGTATCATTTGATCCTCTGTTACCCATTGAACTCAGAATTCAGATGCAAACGTTTTCCCTTTGCTAGTTTGCATCTGTCCCTAGACTCACAAAGCCTTCTGTTACATCCAAGCAGCTGAGTCAATAGAAGCCAGACGGACTGTGAAACCTGGGACCTACACACTTTATCTTATTTAAAACCTTTGAACTGCGCCGAAAACTAATAATACGGAAAAAGCACTAATGCAATATGCAGCTAAGTCATGGCCACAGGCTTACATAGCAACTACAGTGTCTTTTGAAGAAGGATATGCATATTTCCAAAAAAACTGCAAAAGTAAAACAGTTCCAAATCACATTGGTGATGTCACTCCAAAGCTTTGGAGCCACTGAGGTCAAGGCCTTGCTCTTGCCACAGATGTCTATGTGCAAAGCAGAGAGCATCCTGCAAAAGACAAAGGCCTTTTGTTCTCACCAAGGGTGCAAGATTATAGGCCAGATTAAAAGGCCCAGTATAGGAGCAGAAAACAGGCTAGTCAACAGCATCAAAAGAAGTGCACCTCTTCTTTCACACTAGGCTTGAATGAAGCCCCAGGCTCATCTCACCATGTTGAGGGGGAAAGATGAGATTACTGAACTAAAGTGGCAATTTAACTGCTACTCACCACTGTGTTTCTGCTGTTCCATAGCTGAAGCTTTCAGACTGTGCTTCTCTTTATCTTTCCTTGGGACAGACAGATTGAAAAGATCATCAGTAGCAGAACTGTAGGACTTGGGATGCTCTCCACAATAAAGCAACGCAGCAATAAACCAACCTTATTTCTTCCATTCTTTGTTCTGCTTTAATTGCTCATACTTTTAAGCTTTAACCAGCCCTCTAGACAGATTCTGAAGCAATGCCCTTCTCCAAGCCATCCCAAAACCCCCTCTCTATCCTAAGCTGTTGCTCTGGATCTTACTTGTGTTTTTCCTTCAGGCTTTCAGGGAACAATTCCTCAGGAGTCCACGGTTCCTAAAGAAATAAAACTCAGGAACTTAGTTGCACAAGAAGGCACATCCACAAACCATTTCAGCCAGATTCCCCACCTCTTTCTGCATATCACATATGCGCTGCCTCACAGTACACGCATTCACCCTGCTTCCCAGCTAAGCCACACGGCAGTGATCTTTGTGGACCTACCCTCAGAGAAGTTTGCTGACCAGGGGGAACCTGGAACCAGGGAGGTTAAGTAGCACATTTTTCTCTCTGGGAAATCTGCATCCTCCTGGCATTATGAGGTTGCCGCTGAACAGGCAGCAGTGTCTGGAAGCATCTTTTGCCTGACATCCATAAGTGGAGCTTTCCTGAAGGGGGCACCCCATCTTTGGAGCACATGCTCCACAGGGGCTCAGTTGGCACTGACACGTCAAGATGGCATCAGGTTAAAATGTATTTCCCCAGGAATCTTAATACGCTTTGTGCTGTTCTGTGTTCTTATGCTTAATTTGTTCTTATTGTAATGTTATTCATTCATTTATTTAAAGTATTTATATCATGTGCTATACACAAAATGTCTCAAGATGGCTTACAAGACCAAAACAATCAATCAGTGAACAGAACAATTAACAACAATTAAGAATATGCATGAAACCAACAGAAACATTTTACCAGTAAGAACTAAGTCAAAATCAAAAGTGAAAACAAAGTACACTGTGGGTAATTAAAAGCCAATTACAATTCCTAGTTCTTAAAATGGTGGGCAAATAAAAAGGTTTTCATCTGGTGCCAAAAGGAATATAAAGTCCTTTTTAATGGTTCTATTGTACATTTTGGGTTTTATGCCATTTTTACATCACCCTGGTAGTCTAGGCACAAAAGCAGTTTAATACTATGTTTGATAAATAACTAATTGATTTACTGCACAGCAGTAAATCAGCAAACAGGTGTCTTTAAAGTAGAAATTTTTCTGGCTTGTGCTTACCTCCAGCACTTGGTACAGGAGAAAAGAGCCTCTGCGCATAATGTTTTGTCAAGTTCAGTTTCACAGATGAACCACATGAATAAATCACTTGGATGTAGTGACGCCACAAAAAACCCAGAGAAGACTCCAGTGGAGACTATGACTACTTACTGGGTCATCAAAAGTTTCCCCAAGCTGCTCCATTGCATAGTAAATCAGTTTTTTCTCCATAAGAGACCTCTGCACATAATGGCGGACATTCTGTGGATAAAGAAAAGCTGTTAAAATAATATGCAGTCTGTCAGGAACATATATTATAAAATGGATCTAACTTTGCTTGCTTAACAGCACAAATTCTGCCACTAAAATATTATTTCTGCTATTAAAGATAAGAGCTATAAGATACACACTTCTCCCATAGGTACAGTCTCACAATTTTTATAATTTTACTCTGATCTCTTAGTACAGACAGTGAAATATTGGAGCAGCACATGCTTGCTTTTTCTCATATTAATCTTCCATGTTCAGGTCTCTCACAACTGCAGTTTCTCTTGGATTCTTTGCATACTGAAGAAATTAGGAAAGCAATTATAAATATGAGCACTGGGAAATCACCTGATTCAGACAAGTTTCCAACTGATAAAGACATTTTCCAGCCTCTTAGTTCCAAAGCCTTATTGTCTTTATAAACACATTGTTGAATCAGATTCTTTCATCATCATTCAATGATACTTGTGTTACTATGTTCATAGGCCTGGTGATGATTATACTGGTTTTGCCTGTTGTTATGTGCCATCAAGCTGTTTCTGACTGGTGGTGACCCCATGAATGAAAGCTTTCCAAAATGTCCTGCCTTTGACAGCTATTTAATTAATTGGTAAACATCTGAACTGACACTGTTTGGAAACACTATATCTCACATTGTATTAGTTAGCTGGGAGTTTTGATGGTATCCAATTTTTATCATGTATTTTGGAATGCTTATTCCCAGACGTATCTCAAATGATCAAGCTAAGCTTGAATAAGTTGATTAATGAGACCTCACAGGATAAAGATGACTAGGCATCCTTAAAACTGAATTTGTAGAATAAAGTTAAAACATGATGACTAGCATACCTTGTATTGTTTATGTTATATGTGGGATTCCTTTATCTATATTCAGAAAGTATTTTCAAAAATGTCATATTTTTACATGAATGTTTAGGGAAGGGTCCACCCTACCACAAATATCTCTGAAAAGGATACAACTTCCAGTTAAATAAAGTAGGATTGGCTTTCCAGATCTTGCTATATATTATCAGGACTGCTTGCTGAGCTGAACTAAACATTGGACTTCTCAAAAATTTTGGAATCGTTATGTCTGGAACTCCTCAGCAAACAGATGGCATTAGGTTCTCAGCACAGTAAAACATGTATAGTTATGGTAGTTAGAAATATGTGGCATACACATGTGACATATAAGATGATATTGATTACAGTTTGACCCATTTTTTCATGTGAAATGGATTTATGGGAAAACCCAGGCTTAAAAATTAGTAAGAAAGTGGTGGACTTGGAAGGATATGATAAATTTTACTTTGGATCAAATGCTGGGTGTTGAAGATGAGTTTACTCATTTTCAGCTTTGGGTGATAAATACAATTTTCCTGCTACAGCTGACTGGCAGCACTTGCAATTGCAATGTGAGTTAGAATCCAAGTTTGGCCCTGAAACATTTCCAGCTGCAGTCTCCTGTGCTCTTTATTTATGTATTTATTTAAGATATTTGTATGCCGTCCTTTGCAAGAACCTCAGGATGGCTTACACAAATAAAATACAAATACCTAACATAACATAAATTAATTAATGACCCATTCTGGCTGCAATTAAAATACGATGATAAAATTCAATATTAAAACATGAGAAGTACTGATCAGAAAATTAATTGACAGCTGGACCAAGCTTTCTAACAATTGTAAACTTACATTCCAAAATGGCCAGCCAGGTTGAACCTGTTAGCTTGCTACAGGAAAACCTTATTTTCTGGAAAAGTATTGGTAACGAGAGATAATCTACAGGGTACTAACTTACTGATGCTCTAGGGGGCACTGTTGAGATATGCCTGAGTGTAGAGACGACCAGGCACCCTGTTCCCTCTGTGGTTGCAATCCGCTTTGATGCAGCTTGCACCCCTGACACACCTGCAAATTGTGTGACTGTCAGAAAGTGGGCAGAGGCAGCAGCGTGAGCAGCAACCGGGCCCTTTGCCAGCTGGCTTCCAGCTGCTGTGAATGGTGAAGGGGGACGGCATGATCTGTGTCCCTTCCTTCCCCAATTTTGCGGTCTGCCTTTTCAGCAGGAGTAAATTCTTTCTAACCTTCTACCTCCCCACTTTCCCCCCTCTTTGCTCCCCTTCCACAGCTTTCTTTTTATTTTTGTTTCTTACTCTTTTCCCTTTATTCCACGATCTGGATTTAGATCACAATCCACATTTCCACCCTTAACCTATTTCCCCCTTAAGTTCCACACACACAGAGGAAGGTGGAAACATGTTAAAGAAGGGAAAAGTCTCTTTTGACTCCAGTGCCTCTACGTATGTTGAAGTAATAAAATTAATGGAAGAATTATTTTGTGCAGGAAATTAATGGGCTTGCCTTCTACAAACCTGGGGTGTTGTTGTAGTAGCAAAAGTGGGATTCAAGCTGTGGCCTGGGGCCCTGGAACTCAGAACTCATACCTGCCTTGCGAAGTTTTAAAGCAGCAAAGCATGAGGATGGGAGCATTTCCGGCCACGGGGTTTTTACAAATCGACTTTGTAGATTTTGTGAATGGCCATGCCCCCCACGGCAGTCTTTTTGTTATTAGTCAAGCCCCTGTGTTTGTGCTGGCACTCACAGCACCTCCTTAACATTCCAAATGTGCCTATGGGCCCTAAAAGCTTTGGGATCCTTGCCCCAGTAAAGGAACGAATCTCATCTCAGATTGACTTGTGCTTTTCTCCTTGTCTCAGACTCACAGGAAAGTTATCTGGGACTCGTTTTTATTGTTTGCAGACTTGTATGGGTTGACTGAATTTTGAGGAGTGATGTTCAGCACCAGTGGAAGTAAGAGCCTGACTTGTGAAATTTGCTGCATTAAGGTGAAAACCCATGCAAGTTCAGACAAAAAGTGTCGTACTGCATTCGGCTAGTAATGCGGTCTCGGGAATGCTGGAATTCGTGGGATGTTTTCCTGTCTTAAAATGCATAGGGTGTTATGTATTAGCCATTTAGGTATTTCTTTTCAGTGGGGACACACTACACCCATATTGGGCCTGGCTGAAATCTGGACGGGTGCCTTAAAATGTTGTGGACGCCCAGAGAGCTTCGGCTGTGGGTGGTATAGAAATGTACCATTAATGATGATTGGTTCATTTATCATCATCTGCTAACAAGTCATCAAGGTGTTCCACAATAACATAAAACAATTTAACCTAAAAACAAGAATGTGAACTCTTTCTGGATTACACCTGATGTGAGAAAGATTGTATTAATTTATATACAGGAACTGAGGGTGACTTCAGATAGGGGAAATGCTGCTGGTACCTCTCTGGCGGCAACAGGTGTTTCTTCTCCCAGCTCTGCTTGATACCGTTTCAGCTTCTTCAGCATCATCTCATCTGATGGGTAGAAAAGCAAGTAGGTGGCGGCACACTCAGCCGCCATGTCCACATTCCCAACTGGAAAAGAGAAGACTGGCTTGGTCACGGCAGTTCCACCTTCCCTTCCAGCCATGCTCCACCCGAATAATATCACAGGCAGAGCACAGCTCACAGGCGCTCACCTCAAAAGAGCACTCCTTGCTTACCTTTGTCATAGGAAAACTGCAGCAAGTCAAAATGCGATGGAATAAAGTCTTCTACGGAAGACACCCTCCCTGGCTTGGTGGCTATGTCGAGGATGCACTTCTGCCTGCACTTCAAGACCTGGATGTAGTGAGCTGGAAGGCAGAGAGGAGACACATGCACCGCCGGCACCTCAGATGGATGGGGTGCTCTTCTAGCAGAAGGTACTAAAAGAACCCCTTTCTCCCTGGGCACTCAACAGAAGGCGGGACTTGAAACAAATATCACTGATATTCCGAGATGTCTGATTTCCCCATGCCAAGTTTGAATTTCAAGGTGGCATTCTGAACATGCGATTCCACCTCTGCCCTTGAAATCTGCATGCTTTAGAGAGCTGTGAGATGTTTTTCTAAGCATGCAATGGATCGCTGGCTTACTCTTGTTTGTATCTCTTGTTTTGATTTTGGCAGGCATGGAATAGGCTAGCTCAGGAGGCAACTGCCTGAATTAGGTGCATCAGAAAACTTCTGTAACCTCCCCCACAACAGGACAGGACTTTGGCAGGGGAAACAGTGGAACGAACGGGGCCAGAGAGGAGGAGATGTGGAAGCAAAGTACGCAGCTGTGCCAGGTAACATAGTGGCAGGGTGAAGGACAGAGAATGTGGCTCAAGGAGAGAGGCTTGGGACTGGAGAGCAATGCTAGGGGATATCTTGGGAACTACACGCATCAGTTTCGAGGCGTCAAATGCAAGTTGAATTGTCCAATGTTAAAAAAGTGTGCTTTGTAAACAATGGACAAAGATGTATTGCTTTATACTTTGTGAGAAATTCTTGAACTAGATGTCTGAGAAAGTTAACTACCTTTTTTACAATCTCATGCAGCTGTAGTTCACATTTGCTCATATTTCTGACCAAAAATGTAATTAATAGGAACAGCAAAGACACACACATTTAAGTTGGGAATGTGCTTTTAGGCATTTCACCAAAATGGAGAAGTTTGGTAACTGACATGCATAAAAATAAAAAAGGGGTTGTTGGATGGGATTCAAAAAAATTTTCAACACTGGTTCTGCACTAGCACAAAGCATTTGTCAACATAGAACATAGAAAAAGAGCGAGTCAGAAGGGGTCTCCCGGGCCATCTAGTCTGATCCCCGGCTCTAGCTGGCTGCGCTCACGACATGCCCACCATGTGCATGTCCAGCCCATCCTTGAACACCCCCACCAATGGGGCCTCAACCACTCCCATGGAAGCCCATTCCATACCCTCGGGGTCCTAACTGTCAGGAAGTACTTCAACCAATTGAACCTTGGTTCCCTGAGCTTTGCTCTGTTGGTACGTGTTCTGCCCTCCTCTGCAGGGGAGAACAGGTCTCTACCCACCCTGTGACACCCCCTCATATACCTATATGTCGCCAACAGATGCCCTAGGAGACTCCTCCAGGCTGAAAAGACCCAGTTCCCTCAGTCTCACCTCATACAGCTTTCCCTGCAATCTGGCCACCATTCTTGTGGCCCTGCGCTGCACTGACTCTAACTTTGCTATATCCTTCCTGTAATGAGGGGTCCAGAGCTGAATACAGTACTCCAGTTGCAGGCATACCAGAGTCATATAGAGTGGTAGCAATACCTCTCTTGATCTAGAAGCCATGCTTCTGGCTATGCAACCAAGGGTGGCATTTGCCCTCTTAACCACCGCGTCACACTGCTGACTCATGTTCAGCCTGCAGTCAACCAGCACCCTGAGGTCCCTTTCACAAGTGCTGCTCTCCAGCCACTTGTCCCCTAACCTGTACTTATGACACCTATTCCTATGCCCCAAGTGCAAGACCTTGCACTTATCCACATTGAACACCATCCTGTTGTCTCCTGCCCACTTCCATAGTCTCTCTAGATCCTTTTCAAGCTGAGAGGACTTTCTAAAGGCATTTATATCATTGTCCAGACTACTTTACATGAGAAAAAAAAGTTGAAGTCTTGTGAAACCCAAGGCAGCTTCATAATCCTATTGTCTCTTTTCTGTTCTGGACTGCAAAAATATAGAAATACATAAACAGAGCTTCATAATGTAGGACCAAAACGCAATGACAAGGAAAATATGCATTATAATTTTAACAATATCGCCTAAGAAAACATTCAATATTTTAATGTGCATAATAAAATGTTGTATTTTAACATATCTAGATTCTATGTATCTTGCAAACTCAATAAAAAGAATTCTTTTGCAAAAAGTCTTGACTTTATTTCCACTCTAATGTGAATACATTCACTCAATTTCATCATTTTTGCCACTTTCCATAATGTATATAATTGTTCTTTTAAGGTAGGGGGCTTTAGATTATGCCATTACTTCTCTTTCTGCAGCAGCCAATTTTTATTTCTTTTTAAAGAAAAAGGAATGGAGGCAGTAAAATCTTCCTGGAGATGTGAGAAAGTCCCCTCCCGTACCTTCCATCCCAGCAGGTTGGCTACTCCAGCTGTTTCTCTCCCTTTCTCAGTCTTGATACCAAAGCAGCAAACAGAGAAAAGTGGCTCTGCAGAGTGGGGCATGTTGGGGAAGGGGGGGAAGGTACAGGAAGGGCAGACATTCAGGACTCCTTCCTGTGCACACTTTTAACCATTAAAGAAAGACACCACACACACAGTGTACACCATCCCCTTATGCTAATGCTTTTTTTCCTTTCGAGGAACTCAAGGCAGCCTTCATAATTCCCCTTCTCTCAATCTTGCCCTTACAACAACAGCCCTGTGAGGTAGGTTGGGCTGAGTGACTGGCCCAAATTCTCCCAGGGAACTCCATGGCTGAGTAGGGACTAGAACCTAGATCTCCTCAGTTCCTGTCCCACACTTCTAACCACTAAAACACACTGGCTCTCTTTATGGGACTTACTTATGTTATGTCTTTCACAAACACAAGCCTAAGCACTGTGTTGGGGATTGCAGCTTGGGTGGGAAAGCTTTCTTAGCCTGGCCACATTCTGCTAAGGCTAACCTTCTGTTGACCAGCATGGCAGATGGCCGTGAAACCAGATGTCACAAAAATGGACAGAGCTACCTCACACATACTCATTTTCATTCTCTCTCTCTCTCTCTCTCTCTCTCTCTCTCTCTCACACACACACACACACACACACACACACACACACACAGAGGGATAAACTCTTTCTCAACCTCTGCTGAGAATTTCTTTTTTCAGTAGATGCTTTTCCTCGAGATGCTCCAAAATTCAGGACATTTTGGCTCCATAAAGCACTTGCATGCAGCATTCCCAGTACTGAGTGATCCTTTGGCGTTTTGATGCTACCTGCAATAGCTTCATAGAGGCCCAGCTGCATCTCTTCCTCTTTATCCTCCTCTTCCCGGGCCCCTTCACACAGCGCTCTACAGTCCTCCAGCGCCAGCAGCCCCTCTCTGAGTGACTCCTCCAGCTTTGTCACGGCCTGCTGGTACTCATCCATGCTGTAGTGGTGCAGTCCAGCTTCATATGCCACCTGCAGGACCACAAAGCCAAGCCGCCTCCTTAAAAGCCTGAGGAGAGCTCAGCTGCACCTCTCCCAGAGAACAGGGGTGCCACCGGGGCCTCACCTGCAGGCCCAGCTGCACTCAGCAAGGAAGACCCATGACCAGAAGATGTCCTGATGCTTTTTGAAAACTTAAGAGCCACACGGTGGTGGCTGCAAACAGGCTTGGCTGTGTGCATCTGTAACACCTTACCCCATGCCATTCTAAAAAGAGAACTTCCCCCAGTGGCACAGCCCCGAATCAATCTGCTTCCTGCAAGCTGCATTTAAGGTTTAAACAGGAGAATCAGGACACCCTTTTCATTACAGATTTGCCACATCACAACATGAAGCTTGACTCTGACTGAAGTGGCATCATCCTGCTTCTTGCCTTTCTCACTTCAGGCTGAAGCTGGGATGCTCATGCAATGGACTGATGCAAAATCAGAGCAAAACGAAATTGCACATGGATGCCTGGCATGCCAAGGAGAAGACTGCTGGGTGTTTGTATGGTGCAGCAAAATATAGCCATCAAGGCTCCCATCTACAATCTGAAGTGGTGCAGCCCAGACCACAGGTTTTCCACCTCAAGTCAGGTCTGAGGTTTGCTCTCCCCACAGATGCCTGTATGAGTATGCTAATGTGCTCCAAAATAACCATTAAAAAATCAAGGTGCCCAAGGGCCCAAAGTACCACTATACAGTTCTGCCCACTATATAATTCTGCTGCATCAGATGTGATTGTTCGACTGATTGAATCAGTTCTACTATATCAGGATTACCTGTACTTGGTGAGAGGCATACCTGGATCAGCAACTCATGCAGAAGCAATGGCATGCTCCTCTGAAGGCAGGTGCCTCTTATTTGTACATAAAAGAAATAAGCCCAGTCAGGCCTCCAGGGGTGGAGCAATGCATTTTGAAGCGCTGGCAGGAATCACGGCACTTCCCACAGCCATACCCCCATGACCAGTCCAGAAATCCAGACAGCAGTCCTGACCTTGATAACAAACCACTTCTAGCAGTTTTATCTTCAGCGAATATTTTGTTGTTGTTGTTTTGTCAAGCTAACGGGACTTATTGGCTCATTCAAGACCAAGCCACACAAAGATGCTTTCCATTAGAACAGGAAATATATTGTTGCAGGGAAAATTCATTCCCCCGTCCTGCTCCACCGCTACTGTGAGGATTGAGGCTAACCTCAGAAGAAACAGGGGAATCTGGAGCGAGAGATGTTTGTAGCAAATTTTAGTGTCTCTGCTATTAAGGAAGTGCCTACAACAAATCCCAGAATGACCCTAATTAGGGCAGATTCAGTGGGGTGGATTCAGCTATCAGAACTTCGGGAAACTCTGCCTTGGGGCTCTTTCAGACACGGCTGTGAAGCTGCCGCCGCCGCTGAACCAGTTAGCAATCGCCACGCTTAATTTATGGAGAATTCTAATTTACCAGCACTCAAACTGCAAGCCCAAGATACTGGCAAATTGACATCTTTGGAGCAGCAGCTGAGAATGTACTATGTTTTCCTTCCCTGTGGAGAAGATAATCATGCTGTTGTCACAGAACATTTACATAATTTTGAAAACGACCATGCCTGTATTAAAAGGGTGTTTGCATTTTGCTCTTCCCACCCAAGAAGCCACATGCTCCTCCTCTGCCATGCTCAGATGCTCGCCTTGTTCTCTGCCACCACACCATTACCACCCTCTTCCTCCTAGCTTCCATGCAGTGGGACAGAGACCAAAAGAGACAGCTACGATGCTGCTACCATCTGCATTCCTGCCACTGCCGGAGATGTTCTCTCACGTGGAAGCAGCCTCCTGGTCATCCAGGACCTAGATCTATACTGTGGAGATGTGGCTCAGAGAATGAATTGGCTTGACTTACTATTTCAGACACTCTGATTCTTGCAGGCGTTTCAGCCAAAGCTGGCCCCTGTCGGGGTCCTTTCCTCAGCCGGTCTTACCTTACATCACATCCCAATTCGTGCCCACCTGGGACCCTTGAGCTTCCTTGCCACCAGTCTGTTAGCAGTCCCTTCAGGATCTGTGAGTCTGGCCAGCAGATCCAACCAGAGCACCCTGGCTATGTTTCAAATGTGTTGTGCTTTCTGGTGTCTCTCATTGAACTACTACTTCTTTTGTGCTCTACCTGACCTGTTTGCTTCAGGACTAAAGTACATGTGCCATCCATGGAGGCAACTGTTTCTCTGCACTACTGAAGGCGCTATTTGTTTTCATCACCAGGGCAAGCAGTAGCTTCAAGACCAGGAAAATGAGTTATAGACCTGGTTTGCATGTAAATAGCAGCAATTTATAGGTTAATTAATCCACAGTTTTCTGCAGTTCACAGTGGGTGTACTCTGTGCCTATTTTGAATATTCATTCCCCAATCAGGTGTTTCTGAGTGTCACTGAAACAAAGACTAGGTTTGAATGATCACTGCAGTCCAGCCTGGCTCAAATGATTTAAGCCATGGTGAGCTGTGGTACGTGCCAGCAACTATTTTGAACATTCAGTCCTTGGGTTGCCATGATTTTGTTGTATAATCCAAGCCCAGGCAGCAGGGGTTGCTTGAGGGTTAATAACTGACAAATAACCCATGGGCTGTAGTGGAGTTACTTGTGGGTTGCTTAACCCTTAAACAACCCCTGCTGCCTGCATTTAAACAAACACCAAACAATGACAACTACCTGTTCAGAATGATCACTGGCAATGAACAGGTAAGCCACAATAGGATAAGCCACAATAGAATGTGATAATCATGTGAACCAGCTCTATAGATTAATCTTGGATGAAACAATCCATAGTTAACCTACAACAAGCAGTTAGGTTAATCGTGGGTTATTTAGCCTGTGATTATGTAAGATTTGTTTCAATTTGATTTTATAATTTGTTAAAAACGCTTTCATTTAAGCATTATTGCACAAATATATAGATATTTAAAAACCAGGCAGAAAACAGCAAATTAAAAATGGATTTAAGCAAAATGGGGCTAAATTGGAGCCTACTAGAAAAGTACTAGTAGACATGTACCACAGTACAGAAGCATAGTTCCAGGCTCACCTGTCAGTGACATCACAGCACATGTCAAAACCATACTTTCTAAAAAGTGATGAAAAAGTAGCACATAGGTGAACTACAGTCAGGGAACCTTTCAATCCAAACAATATGAATCCACTAGGGTCTTAGAAAAGATGGCAGAAACACGAAGAAAACAGAGGATAACCAATTGTTAACAAGGAGCTCAAACTTGACTATTCCACACTCAGCAGCTGTTCTAATTTGCACTGCAAGTATCTCACCCAGTGTGACGTGGCTTCAAGGTCCTGAAAGCTTTCTGATTTCACCCCTGCCATGCGACGGTATTTTTCCATGTCCTCACGCATTTGAAGGTGCTGTGGATTGGCCACGAAGAATGTGTAAGCTGAGGAGACTGCTTCATCCAGTTTCTTCAGCTGCAGAAAGAAAGAGTTTGTCTGCTTAGAAACAAATGTAGGCTGCAGTGAGACTACCTCAGACTGGGGGACAGGGGCAGTGGTGCAGCTATGGCAGTGTGCAAGCTGTGCCTTCCCATTCACCACCCTATTCGTAGGCAGAGAAATGTATGGGATTTCTCCAGAGGAAAGTGTGGCGTAGTGGTTAAGAGCATGGGCCTGGGACTCAGACGATCTGGGTTCTAATCCCCACTCAGCCATGGAGCCAACTGGGTGACTTTGGGCCAGTCACAGACTCTCAGCCCAACCTACCTCACAGGGTTGTTGTTGTGGGGGTAAAATGGAGGAGGAGATGAAAGCTGCCTTGAGCCCTTTGAGGAAAAAGGCAGGATATAAACCGAAACCGATAAAGAAATATTCTCTTGAGTGTCTTGCAGGCGGTGTCCACCATCGGCCTTTGTTCCCCAAAGGTGTGTACAGGGGAGCAGCGACTGTGCTGGCCAGATGTGCTGGCCATTTTGCATCCTCCACAAAGCAGACGTGGTGCCAGCAGTGTGGCATTTAGTTTTAGGAAAGAAGTACAGCAAGTGCTGTGCCAAAATCTCTTCTCCAGGTTTCCTGAAAGTTTTCTTCCTTCACAAAAGGGGCTTCCATTTTCATGCCTCATTTCCAAAGCATTTAAAAGTTACTTTAAATTTACTCAGGCAGAGTTCTTGAGCTTTCCTTATCTCTGTGTGTGGGCTGAGGGTGCACTCTGTCTCTTCTCTTTCCATTTAGATCCCCCTCACTCTGCGTGCACTTCCTGATAGGACAAACCCCTCCATGAGGTCTCCTACTCTAAGCTTTTCGCTGAAATACAGGAAGTTGGATGGGCTTCTGGGTGCTGGACAGATGATTGTACCATGAACGACCAGACACCCGTGCACAGTCTTCCGTCATTTCATTGGTAAGGTACGCACAAGTACCCTAAACCCAACCCAAGAGAATTTCTCCCACATTTTTTCCTCCTCTGAATTCCTTTCCTGCCAGTTTCGATGAGAATGGCTGGGCAAAATATGAAAAAACCACTTGCACAGCACTCATTTTAGGCCATAGACTGGGTGCAACCTCACGGCTGCTAGACATGGTCTGGAGAGAACTTTGGAGCTCCAGCCTTGCAGAAGTGAGATCAGACCCAGGGCTCTGAATTTGGGCGGCCAGTCCTGTACACTCACGGCGAGTGTAGGTGTTTCCATACCACTCTGAAATCACAAGCGTGACTTTGGAGCCAGTGCTGAGGAGCGGGAAGGGAAGGGAAGGGAAGGAGTGAGGCTTTACCAGGATATTAAAAACTCAGAGCCAAGGGTAAAATCTGCCACCTAAGTGTTTAGAGGGTGGGAGGAGTGCTGAGGCCATGCATTTTCCGCTGGATGTCCGCAATCTTCCAAGTTTGGCGAGCAACAGGCCGCCACATAGATAGCTGCTGCCAGTCCTCTGAGGGGGAGGGCTCTTTATATGGCCATGCATATTATTTTAGCAATGAATCACACAAGTAACACAGCCCTTCTTTCCTCCCCTACTGTTCGGTACTTTACAATGGCTTCTTCATTCCTGATATGTTAAAGAGGGAAACACGATTTGCTAACACAGATTTTTTTTAAAGAACTGAACATAGGCTGTATCATATTTTAAACTCCCATCATGGCAGTATTTTTGTTGTTGTTTCTGTACTGACCAATAGCCAAAGCTCTCTGAGTAGTTCACAGCAATGGAGTTTGCTTCTGCTGCCCTGACACTAAACACATTTGCCTGGGAATTCAAAATCATTCTCTCTCTACACACACACACACAGTAAAAAAATCATAAAATGGGTGATGATACATCAGGCCACCCCAACTGTTAACACCTTTGAAAAATAAGAAAGCAGGCAAAGAGGATCAACCTCAATGGGCACAATCAGGCCATCCAAACGGTGATATCAGGCCTATGTGCTACTAATGCATTAACTGCTGGTTTGGGGGTCGTCACTTGGGTACCTCTGGGTTCAGGGAACTTGGACTTCAGCCCAAGATCCAGCTCTAGCTGCACCAGGAGAAGGAGAGTGTGGAGAGGAAACCTCACCAAACAACTGAATTGAATTGCTAACCAAGTAGTGCATATTAAATACATTTGTTATAGCACTGTGAGTGGCTTAGGTAAAACAGATATCCTTTTAAAGAAAAAGGCATTGGCATGCACAATGGCACACAGGGCAGCTACATTTAAAGATAATAATCGTTATTCAAGATGCAGTCGATGGGAAGCTAAGGAGCCCGGAGCAGGGCTGGGCAGGGTCATTTCGCCGGCTGAGGGGGAGCGACAAAGGGCATTCGGAGGCCTGGGGCAGCTGCTTACGGGCACAACCACGTCTGCCTCTCCCAGCCGCTCGCAACAGGCCCTCCCCGCTTCGCCTAGTTTTTAAAACTCCGCACGCCACCCCTCGCTACGTACCAGAGCTGCAATCCAAGAATTACGCGGACAAAGGCCTATTTCAGGTACACTGTAACGGCCTGTGGGGGAAATATAAACGCCTCCGGGGATATGAGGCGGAGAAGCGCTAGCAGAGCTGTTGCCTATACGTTGCTAACCGTGCGGATTTGGAAGCGCCTGTGCGGATGCTGCGCGCCCCGAAGGGGAGGGCGAGCCAGCGGAAGCGGCCACATCAGCAGCGGCGAGCGGGCCCCGGCCGCGGGCTGCTTCCCACGCACCTTGAAGAAGGCAATCTGCAGGTAATTGTACGGCTCCCGCTCCTCGAAGTCCTGCTGGATCTCCCTGCTGGCCCGGTGGCGGGACGGCTGCCCGCCCAGCCCGCGTCCCAGGCATTCCTCCAGGCACTCCGCCCGCTGCAGCACCCGGTCGAAGAAGCCGGTTTCCCAGGGGTGCGAGAGGGGCCGCCCCCCGAAGCTGGCCTCGTCTTGGCATCTGCCCTGGCACTCTCGGCGCACCCCTAAAAGCCGCGAGTAGCTGTGCAGGCAGCGCTGCAGCAGCTCTGCAGCCAGAGGCCAGTTCTGGGCGAAATAGGCTCGCACCCCGTCCGCGTAGAGCAAGTCATACGGGGCCAGCGGGCTCGACCCTGCAGGGAGCGGGCATCTGCTCACGGCGGGCAGGAGAAGCAGCAGGAAAGCGAAGGAGGGCATGATGGAGGCGAAGAGGCAGGAAGCACTGGGACTGAAGGGGCAGGGAAGGGCAGAAGCGAAGTAGAAAGGCGGAGGGCCAGGCAGGGAAGGACTGCAAGGAGACGGAGGCTGGAAGAGGCGAGAGTGCCGAGAGGGGGCAGAGACGCTCCTCTCTTGCGTATGGCTGAGGCGCGAAGGGGCCTGCGCTCCTGGAGGCGGGAAGAGGGAGGCGGGGACCGAAAGAACAGACACCGGAGCTGCCTCCGGCTCGGCTGGAGGTCCTCCCAGAACTGGAGCGAGAGCTGAGACACTGGGCACAAGTGCCGATGAGCCCCGCCGGGCGAGGGGGAAATGCTCCCCGAAAGAGGGAGGTAAGCGGTGCAAGCTGCTTCCCTGACTTGCGCCGCTTTGCTTTAGCAGCAATGGGGGAAAGCGGCCTCGTTCTTTTACGGTTCCAGCCAGCAGGACTGGCTGCCACTTCTCGCTGCATGTTGCTGCCGCCTGTGCGTTTGCTGCGGAACCATGTGTGAAATAGCCGGCCATCTGGATGCTCTTGAAAGGAAAACCAGTTCAAGATATAGCAACAGAAATGGCCTTCTGTTCACCAGGGCTGAAAGGGGGCTGCGGTCAAGAGGAAGGCGTGGTACCAGATGCTCTGTATCAAGGATGTGATGTTGGAATGGCTTTTTTGTATGCCAGCCTAGCCTACATCGCAGGACTGCTCCAAAGATGCTGCCTCAAGCTTCTTGGGTGGACTCATTCAAAAAGAAACTGGACAGCCATCCAACTTGGTGTTCTGCGACAGCAGATTGGACCCGATGACCTTTGCGGCCCTTCCAACTCTACTATTCTCCGATTCTATGAGAACTTCAGAACTACCAAGTTAAGGCTACATTTCCAGTGTACTTCTTTGTGAACAAACCCATTGAAGTGAATGGGGATTGTGCACATGGACACATGGTATCCAGATGGAGAGGGTGAATGGAGTTGTGCATTTTCAGTATCTGAGTAGAAGGGAGAAGGGCCCAGCCTGTACTGTTTGCACTGGCTGTCAGTTGAACTCCTGACCCAATTTAATGTGCTGATGATAACCTACGCAGCCCTAAAGGAGCGCCTCCTTCCCTGGTGCCCACCCACCTCCTGAGATCTGTGGCGGAACTCCTGCTTCGGGAGCCCTTCTTGAAGGAGATTAGGAGGGTAGCTACCCGGAACGGCCTTTTTGCAGTGGCACCCCGACTCTGGAATTTGCTCCCCAAGGAGGTTCACCTGGCGCCGTTGCTTTATTCTTTTTGGCATCAGGGGAAAACCTTTTTATTTTCCCATCATTTTAATGTTTAAATGGTTGTATTCAGGGTTTTATTATTGAGGTTGGACGCAGTGCCTTGTTTGGTTGTATATTTTCATCCCCCCTGTCCTTCTTCTTGTAAGCTGTCCTGAGACACTTGTAGTGGGCGGCCTATAAAAGCTTTTACTATATAAATAAATAAAGGCACCACAGAATGGAATGGAATGGAACAGAACCAAGCATAACTGAACGGAACCAAGTGTAACGGAAAAAGCGTAACTGAAAAAGTGTAACTGAATAAGTGTAACTGAACAGAGCAGAGCCCAGAAAAGGGGAAAGAAAGCATCAGGCGACAATGGGGCAGGCCGCTTGGAGGTAGCAAAGGCGTCAGGAGTGGTGGAAAAAGGCCGCTGTCCCCCTGAAGGAGCTCGTACCTGGGAGAAGACGTGCCCCTTCACCTCCTCGGCATCCTGCTCCCTGTGCCCTAAGCGATGCTCCAGCTTCTTCATCAGCAGCTGGAAAACACTGCAGGGAAAGTAAGACAAGGCGTCCAGCCACCCATCTCTGGCTGCCCCCCAAGACAAGGAGCCTGCGCCCTTCTGGGGAAGGGGCCCCTGCAGAGCGGCTGGAAGCCAGGAGGAGATGAGGGCAGGCTCAGGGAAAGGGTAAGGAGAGTGACTCCGCATTAGGGGCTGCAGGACCCCTCTAGGTGTGCTTCAGGGGCTGCATTGCCTGGGGGCCCCAGGGCCACTTGGAGCAGGCACCAGAAAAGAATTGGCATGAAGGACAAAAGACTTCTCTCCTCACCTGAGACATGATGGAAAGCGCCTACTGGGACAGGGCGGCTGGGTATCGGACCTCGGCGGTCAGGATGCTGTTCATCAGGGCAAGTGCTCTCCAAGAAAGGCGTGCTGAAATTGAGCAGGCAAAGCAGCGCTCAGCCCTGGGCGTCGGGCACAGGGCCTCCAAGTCCCCTGCATGGGAGCCTGGGCCAGGCATGGGCAGGAAGGGGAGGCAACTCCCTGGGCTCCCCTCGGGTCCCAGTAGACGCAAGCGTTGTCGCACCGCAAAACAGCTCCTCCAACCGAGCTCCCTGGGGCTTCATTGCTGCCTCCATGTGGCCACCTGTGCTGGACTCACCCTTCCCATGAGCAGCTGGTAGAGGACGACCCCGAAGCTCCAGGAGTCCACTGAGTGCGTGTATGGCTTCCTGTAGATGATCTCTGGGGCCGTGGCTTGCAGCGTGCCACGTGTCCCCATAGCCGATCCCTGGAAGGAGCCGTACGGGAGGTTACGGGCTGGGAGGGCCCACAGGCCACCCCCTAGAGGCAGGCAGTGCCTGGGCTGTGCAGCCGGGCAGGGGGCTGTGGGGAGCCCTTCCGCGGCCATTACCTACCTTGTAAAGCCTAAAGTCCATTATCTTCACATGGCCATGGCGATCAACCAGCAGGTTCTCCAGCTTGAGATCCCTGAAGAACAGGCCAAGTGAGAGGAGGAGGAGCAAGGGGGGGGTCTCCAGCGGTACAAGGGGGGGCTCTACGCACTCATGGACTCAGGGATTTCCCACCTGTAGATGATCTTGGCCAAATGGAGGGGCTCCAGCCTGAGAGTGACGCAGCCTCCACAGAACCTTTCGGAAAAGACAGAGCCGCGAATGTGCCATTGTCCCTTCTTGGGGTTCCCCATAAGGACCAGCCTTTTGAGCTTGTTCGTGCATGAGTGGAACTACTCA